TTACTCTGTATTAGTAAACTCAACAGAAAGCTCCATATGAAGCAACAGGAGGCCATAGGCAATTAACACTGTAAATTGAAAGGTTTCGAATCTTTGCATGACCTTTAAAGTTCAACGCAGTTGCCCATTCACATGCATGCAGCTATACAGTGACTGGTGGGGAAAAAAAACCAACATAAAAATATTCAGCAAAACAAACCTTGCATTCATCAAAAGCCACTTTGCACTCTCCAGGCTTATGTGAAGAGTTAGCTTTACATAGCACAAGGAGATAAAAGAGCAAAGGAGACTTGTTTGGCTGCTTGTCCCCATTTTGTCAAAGCACTAAATTCAGCCTACCACCATAATTGTTAAGAATGCAACATTATCATACTATCCAATCTCTCTGTAAAGAGTTTCAAAAACCTACTGTATAAAAGAAGCAATATAAATATAAATTTAATGACTATGCTTGTGCTATTGCTAGGAGAAAGGGACATGTACCTTCACTAACTGGCCATTTCAGAGGAAATCATGAAACAGTTACAGCTACCATGGAGTAATTTAGGAGACTGAAGGAAATGATTAAAAGAGCTTTATCTAATAAAAGCTATAAGCTATAAGCTCTGATTCCTTAGTTGTCTCTCATACCCCATATGGATCACTGTGAACAAAATGGAATGTTCTCCTTATAGCTAATCTATTCACCATTCTTCTGAATCCCAAATAACCTGATTTTTCCCATGGTCATAACAATCAATTGCTTAAATAAGCAAGGTTGTCCCTGATGATTTCAGAGACAATCTTGCGTATCATTTATAGCACAGGATGAAATCCAACATATACATGTGGTATACACATTGGAAGTGGGTGGGTTTTGGAAATCTAACATAAATTTGGAGTATACTATCAATATGTTTCTGGAAAATTTGTAGATACATTTGTAAACCAGAATAGTATGCTCTAATGTAACGCATGGTTTATGTTTTGACTGTGAAGGCGCATATTTAATAAAGACAGCATACAGACACACTTAGTGTTTAAAATGTGTTGAAATTCCCAGTCATAGTGTCAATAAACATATCCCAAAGCACCCCCACGTAAAAGACAAATTGATTTTTTTTTTTTGCATTTGTAGCCTAACAAATAAAATATCTCCAAAAGAAAAACTAAAGAGAAAAATATACTGCATGTAACACTGGCTCAAACAGTAAAACTCAATTACAAATGACCTTGTTAACCATGGATACAGTTGCTATAGGTCAAATCATGTAAAATAGGGGGAAAAAAAGGTAGACTTTTAAAAGTTGTTCTTGCCCCTTTCAATACAAAACCAGTATTTTACATGGGTGCCATTGAAAGCATTTGTATGTATGGCTGCATGTGCATATATATGGATAGATACAGAGATTAGATAGGTGTTGCAGAGAAATGTATTTAACAAGTACTTTTCTTCACACCCTAATAAGTCTAACAATTCCTCTTAAAATTCCTGTTAAGAAGTAGAGGACAAGAATTGTTAGTTATATTTCATTGACAAGGACACTAAAATCACTGTGCCAAATGGATAGACTCAGACTTCCTAAAAATTACCCAATAAATCCAGTGGTCAACAACTAATAAAACAAAAACTTCTAGGTTTCTGTTTGCTAAGCCCACCTTTCCATCTCCCGTTTCAGACTGTGCTCCAAACCTATATATAGTAAAACTGTTCTCTAAAAAGACGTATGGTAAATCATTGTAAAATTACCCCTCCTCTTCCAGTGGTATAGTTCAATATGCTCCAAGTACTGTAGTTCAAAATAAAGTTAACCAAAGAATTTTTTAACAAAATGGCAAATTCATTGTATTTCATCGTATCAAAAAAAAAATCAATGCTTCATAAGCAAGATTTATCGTGTGCAATACTGTGTAAGTACGTGGAACAGGTGAGGTTGATTTAGCTGGTTTGGCCCTCATATTTAGCAGCATCTGTGTTGTGTTTCTTGTCTTTGTTTTGATGGAGACCTACTAATAACAGGTTGATGAATTACATTTGTAAATGTCAGGCATAGATCAAAGGGGGCTATGTTAGATGCTTATTTTACTAACTCATGGTTCTTCACTGAGAAAACAAAACTGCATTGCACAGAAAATTTCTTCATTTTTACTCAAATCTTTAATGAACAAAACAGCTGCAGAATAATGTGACTTAATGAGGCATCCCTAATAAAATACTGAAGAAGTAAAAGCAGGGGCACTGAACTGTTTGCACTCTGGTTTGTTTCATCTTCTCAAATAGATTAGAAACAACTGATGACACTTTAGAACATTCCTAGTTTAAGACAAGCATTAGAAAGGCAAATGTTCATCAGTTTGCAGCCACAGCTGAACTTAGGCAGACTGACTACCTTTTATTAGGGCCCATAATAAGAAATGCCTGGAAAACGCTGGAGCGACACCTCTTACTCTACCTATATAGGGCAATTCATAACCTGAAGTTAGTGATAAATCTACCCGAAAATGCACTTTCAACATTTCAATGTTCAAAAACACATCGTAAAAGGATCATTATTAAAATACTATATTAAGGATACTGGATCCACGACCACTAAAATTTTCTAATAATATGCAAAGCAATTTTTATAAAATCTTCTATCACCCCCTAAATTTCATCACTGTATACATTTTTTAAAAAGTAGCAGAGGCCATGTCTAAAAACAGACCTTTTTACAGCTGTGTCATCACATTTTATAACTTGGTGGTTGGTAAATACTATAATGCAGTCCCAAAGCAATACCTATCATTTTTTACATAGATCTATGGGCATCTCAATGAATCTTCATTCTCCAATTTGTCACTGTTAAAACAGCCAATATTTTTCAGATTCAAAAATCACACAAACCCAGAAACCTCAGATTCCCCTTTAGCACAACTTGTAGCACTATAGGTGTTCGTTCTAATGTCAAGGTTTGTGGTTCTTCTTTAAGAGACATATATCACAGCACTATATTAATATGTAAGTTTAAGAACCCTAACCTACAAAATTTTATTAAAGGCAAGAAAAGAATGAAAGTCTTAACCTCAAAAATTGCCCAATAAAAAGCAACACACTAAAACTGTGCTCTGCCTCTGAAGTCACCATGCCTAAGCACTCAGTTGGCGTGACACTGCTCTCATAGCATTGTATCTATAAATAATGCAATTCCATTATTTTCATTGAAAATTTTAAAAAATCAAAATATAATAAGCTCCAGTGTGGTTACTGATGGCCTTTCAATGGCTACTGATGGCTTTAAAAATTAGACTCTAAAGAGGTCAATATGCAAACAATTGACTCAGGATGAGATCCAGAAGAGAATAAAGTAAGAAGAGAAAATTAAAATTTAATGTGTCTGGTCATTTTTAAGGCTCTTCGGTTCCAAACCTGAAATGGTAAAAGATTCACCAGCCTGAAAGTAGACGTGGAAATGCAGAATGGCTGTAAATACAACTCATCTGAATGCTCTGGTGTTTAAAGGCTTTAGTGTTTTCAGCTTCCTCTGCTAGTTATTGCCATTTAGCACTTCACACAGAAATCTTAATTACTCAATTGTCTTAACCCACATTGCCTAATAGAGCAGTTTGATTGTGTTAATTGATAACAGTCAGAGGCGTTGCCGTCTCAAACAATCTTGTTGAGGAAGACAGAAACCAGATAATTATCATTCAGTCAATAGTTCTTGAAACTCATCCTGTCCTGAGTGAAGGACTCTTGTACGCCGACAGCTTTGGGGTACTTTTCACAGTAAAGGTTGCATAGAGGTTTGTTTTTGTTTTGTTTTTTCAAAAAACGATTTCTGCAAAATTCAAGAGGGTGATCAAACACTCACAATGGGAAGCTGTCTTCTGTCTTATTGCCACAAACCAAACTCACCCAGCACCAGCCAAGAGAGGCTAGCTAGCCACTGTGTTGACTACACATTTGATTCCAAACGCTTCAGGCAATTGTTTTAACACTCGGTCCGGAAGGGGAATACTGAGTGGGAACGCGTCGCGTCTACTCGGGGGCTCTGCAAGCGCCCAGTTCCTTTTCAAGCGGAGACTAGATAGCTCAGCCTGCAGTTCTAGGAGAAATAGGGTGACGGATCTCAAACTTTCCTTTACAAAGGTAGCATCTGGAAATAACACGTTCCCCGCTGGCAAGTGCAGATCAGTGACCTAAAGAAAACACCCCTTGGCAGGAACCAGGCCTTTTGGAACAGAAGGGGGAAGGGACAGCAAAGCAGTGGAGCGGAAAAACCGTGTACTATTGGCAAAATTTGGGGGGCATCTACCCAGAAAGAAATGAAAAACTATTAGTTTCTCGAAACTGTTCTTTTTCTGAGTGCTGTTCGTAAAACGATCCTTTTCCTACAGCTCTCCTGTAGTAGCCTTTATTAAAGCTTTATTTCATTCAGTAATAAAGCGTCCGGTTCCCAAATCTAAGTAAACCTTTAAATGGACGAGGCTCCCGAACTTATCAAGATGATTCTTGACGAAAATAGTTAGAGATGGAGAAATCGATAGCCTCATCGAAACGCCCACCGACAGGCCCGAGAATTAACTAATCAGAAGTGGACAGAAAGTAGAGATTTCACAAAGGCGACCTGACACATCTCATTGATTTTCCTTTGAACGCGACCCCCCAACTCCTAATTAGGAGTCCAAAATGGTTACCAACCAGGATGGGTTCGGTTGAGGGGTCGAATTAAAACCCAATGTAATCATCGGTTGGGTCGCTTGCTGTGTTGGGAGAAATGGAGCAGAGAAGAGTGGGAGGGCACTGCTCTCGGAACCTCTGATCCCCCCTCGGCGTCCCTCCACCCCCGCCCTTATTCTAACCGCCCAGGAGGGAGATGCTGGCTAATCCTTCGCATCTGCTTTCACCTCTCTCCTTCCTCTGGCGAGCCCCGTACAGCCCCCGACCCCCGGGGAGGGGAGGCCTTCCGAGCCCCGGGTACTCCAGCAGCCACCCGAGTCCCCAGCGCCCGCGGGTCGCGGCAGGCGCGGCTCGCACCTACCTGCAGCCCGGCTTCCTGGTGGCGGCAACACCTAGCGATGCTCCTGCAGCTTCCGCGGGCCCGCGCCAGCCTTATCGCTCTTGCATTGCATCCGAGATGCCAATCCGCCGTCCCTGTTCAGGGGCATAGGGAACCGAAGTCCGGTGGTGTGTGCTCCCGGAGAGCGTGTGAGTGAGGTCCGGAGCGTGCGTGTGTGTGCGCGCGCGCTGGTGTGTTTCCTCCTCCGATGGCAAAGAGGGTTCAGGAATCTCTTGGTATTTAAATTGGAATCCCCTTACAGTGAGTGGAAGGGGGAGCGCGTGAGCCTCCTTCTCTTTTCCCCCCTTTTTATTCCAGTGTCAAAGTAATCAAAAGAATTGTTTATTGAGGATAAGCCGAAGTCCCGTAGCCCTTGCAGCGCCCGCGGTCGCCCGCTGTCCTCTCCGGATGCGCGCGGTGCGCTCAGCTCCCCGCTGCGAGAATCAAGGCGGTCCTGCAGCAATTACCGCTTATTCCAGCTCTGATTTGTTTGCTTTTAACGCCGAACGCAGACTTTTCCTCTCGCCTCACGTTGTCTCTCCCTCTCACACACGCTCACACATCCTCGGTTCCCGGTCTCCCGCCCTCCCGTTTGCTCTCTGGGGAAAGGCAATTGGACGGAACGATTCACCTTCAGGAGAGCAGCCTCGGCCTCGTACTTCACCCGCTCCCTGGCTCTCGCAGGTCCCGGGTCTCCAATGTGGAGGAGTTGTTGAAGAGGTTCGGGGCAGGAAGGAAGAGAGGCTCTGAGCTCCGCTGTCCTCCGTCCGCAAGACGCCTCAATTCCTCGGCTCAGGTGCCCGTGGTCCCGCTTTTAGCAGATAGGTCCCAGCTGATGCCCTCTCAGAGACTTTGCGCCGAGTCCAATTAGCAGCAACTCCGGGCCAGCTGCAGCCCCTCAATCCCGCCTAGAAGTGCTGCGGGCAGAGCCTCATGCAGGCCAACCGCTGCCCCTCTAGGCATCCTGGGCTGAAGGAAGGGAAATCCGCCGCTGTGTCCCTCTCCCCAGTACGCTGGCACCGTCACCACCGAGAAGGTGTGAGTTGCAACATCCAACACAAGCGAGCAGGTGTTGTCTAAATCACTTGTCTAAAGGCGGGAGGGGAAAAGAGAAGGGGCCGGGGATGGGGCCGAAGGAACAAATCCAGATCACCAGAAGAAAAAAAAAAAAGTAAGCGGTTTAGTAATCAAAGACTCCTCTCCATCTCCCACCCTAAGCGCTGTGCTGTCAAAAGACACTTGGTGGTATCTTTTACAAAGTCGCCGTAAAGGGCAGAAACCCCTGTTCCACCCAGACCCTTATTCCTCCCAGCCTGGCTGTCCAAGGAGTACGGAGTGACTGGCCTCCCTGAATCGTACAAGGAGAACGCAGGGAGAGAATAGATCCCAACACTCCAGGTTGAGTTAAGCAGTAAAATGGGATGGCTGGACCAGGCGACGTTGCCTGTCTCTTTCTCTCTCCCAACAGCCAATTCAGTTAGCCGCCGCAGCTGCTGCTGAGAGCAAACTGCGGTCCTGCAGAAAAAAGACAGCAAAAGATGAAAGGGAGGCAATTGGTATAAAAGCTGGACTATGTCTCCCTCTAGAGGGAGAACCAGGTTAGAAAGCTTTAATAGCTGTAACTAAGATTCCAATTTCTCCACACACATACACACAAAAACAGTATCTGGTTTCAGAGAATTTTGCATTTTTACAAATTCCAACCTCTAATGGATTTAGAGAGACGATTTGCACTGCAGCCCTGTGAAACCAGAGTCTTTGCTAAAGAAATCATGTGCTATTTACAGAAATTTAATAGCAAGACCCTGGAAGGTCATGTCCTTATGGGTTTGGTCAAATTGGGTGTTGGTTTAAGCAGTATGCATATTAGCTCAAACGAAGGGTCTTCTTAGGCACACTTTGATCAGGTTTAGTGATGAGCAAAACCTTAATTTGTGATTAGAAGATTATGCAAAAATGAATAAGTACTAATAATGGATTTAGAAAGAGACAAGAATATCTGAAACAAAGATACAGGATGCTGAACCAGGACATCTTACAGATCCCTTACAACTAGGGATATCTCAGAGTTTTTGCTTTGGAGCCAGTATTCATACCTCTTACTCAACTAGACTAGTAATAGTCAAGGTGACTAAATTCCTCCAGCTCTAAAGTTTGGTGCTTTTAGAGCTCTGATTCACCAAAACCGCTGACAAACTAGGTATCACATTCTCTTTACAGCTATAAAAGAAATACTAGGTACCATATTTACAAAGAAATATGGAATATATGTTTCACTTGTTAGTGATTTTTATCTTAATATGCTTCGTAATTCAGCCATTTTTTATATCTAAAAGACATCAAGTATTTTAAATAGGTCGAGTTGGTTGGTTTAATAAAAGATTTTGGTTTTTTATGTTAGTCAAGTTCAAGCTAGGTCCCATCTACAGCTTTAATATTTAGATTTCGTGAGCTTACTGTTTAAAGTTTGTTTAAAAAATATATAATATGTATTCAAGTTATGATTAAACTTCTTCCCACTCACTCTAAATTGTTAGTCATTCAACTTTAACTTGATAATCTAATTTGGAATAGGCTTAAAGAAATAAAATAATTTATAAGGAAATAACTTAGACTGATTGAAGTCACTTAAAACAAGGAGCCAAAAGTAAATCAAATGAGTTTTTCTATTTCAGCTAATTGTACTATAGTAGATTTGACTCACTCTACCACTTGGCAATCATTTGAGGAAATGGTTTCTTTCAAAAGATTATTGTCATGTGATCAAAGATTTTTATTTTATTCCTCTTACCTAGCAATTTATTTCCCCAGGGAGAAAAGTTTACATTTTAAAACACCCGGCACTATTTCACTACAAATCTTACACTAATTCTCTGTCTGCTATGTTAAGTAGTGGGATAGAATCCAAGCAGGAATAATATTGGAAACCCAAGCTCTGTGTTGGGAGAAATAGCCATTTACAAAGTCACTTTAGAACATTGGCTTGCCTTTCCCACAAGAAATATAAAGCATACATTATAATCCTTCTAGCTTCTAATTCATTAGCTCTCCATGGATTTGGGGAAATCTACAATTTTATCGTATTATCAAAAGTTTATTTCTATTTAAATGTGTGTCATTTTTATCCCTATTTTCCTAATTAAACCCGCTCTATTTTTACAAAAAATTATGAAGAAAAGTTAGTAAAGATAACAAATGTATAAATTAACAGCAAAATATAATAGATTTTCTTACCCAACGTCATATGAAACTAAAATTCTGTAATAACTTTTGTATTTTTCATAAATACCCAGATAAATAATTCCCAATGATTTTTAAATCAAGGTATTCTTATTCCCAGCACCTCCTACACTTGAAAACAAAATCTTTTTTTTCCTTCCAAAAGGAACAAAATGGCAAATATGTCCCTAGTTTAATAGAAATCTTGAGGTGATATTTCTTAGCATCTGTTTATTTAAATTGCCCACTTTCTCCTGTCTAAGCAGTAGAAAATAATTGCTTTGAATGCTGAACTTCAGTGGATTGAAATTCCATGTTCTGAGGGCTTATTAAAATGTCACTCTGGGGCTTCCTTCTTAAAGCTTCCTGGTAGAGGCTTTAAGTGATCTCAACTCCTTATCTCAATTCCTCACAACACCCCATAAAGTAGATGATACAATCCCATTTTACATATGAAAGTTATTGAGACTTCATTTCACCATCACTAAGTGGCAATTCTGGAATTCAAACCAGGTACATACCTAAATTCAAAAACAGTTTTTGGTTTTTATTTGGCTTAGTTTTGGCTTTGATTTTTATTTTTTTCTACCTTCCCCAGCACCACCACTAAGACAAGCTATCTCCGATACTGCATGGAAATGAAAATGATTTACACCTGGATATGGAAAAGTCTTAGCCAGAAGACTTGAGTCCATTAATAACAACAGAGAGAAGTTATTAGTGGCAAAGACAGAAAGGGAAAAAAAAAGTAAATGGCAGCTCCCTTCAGTGTTCTGCCAAGGTGTATGGTATTATAACAAATGAACAAAAAGTTCTGATTCCTAGTGCATAAGTGAAGAAGAGTGCCTCATATAAGCTACTCGGCCCCATTTGTCTCCTCTTGTTTTGTTTCTTTGGTACTAACCAACCTATTTCTATTTTTTCAACAATGCTTCTCCCACTCATCTTTTAAGTGTTTTTCATTTAATTAGGTGAACAAAAGAAAGCACAGAATTCATTCCATATAACCCAAGGTAGCATGTTATTAACTTTTAGTATCCCCATTACATAACATAGTACCTAACATACTATAAATAGCCTATAAATACTTTATGGTCAGTAATCAGGAAACTAAACAGGTCAAGTAGCAGACTGATGCCATGGAAATAAATCAAGAGAACTACTCCACAGAGCCGCATGAGAAAGAACAGAGGCAAAAAAATGTCCTGTAAGTAGCAGGTAGGCAATGGAAAAACCACCCCAAAATGTAGTGGCTTAAAAAAAAAAAAAACATTTATCTAGTTCACACTTCTGTGGACTGGCAATTTGGGTTCAGTTCAGCTAGGTTCAACTGGGCAATTCTGGAGTCAGTTGAGCTTACTTATGTATCGGTGGTCAAGTGGCTCTATAGTGCCTGTATATTACCTGACAAGTGGCTGACTGTAAGCTGGAGTGTTGAGTTGGTAACTAGGCTACATGTCTTGTATCATCTAACAAGCTAGCCTAGCTCTTTCACATGGTGGTGGTCACAGGCTCCCAAGAGTAGCACGAGGCGAAGCCTCAATACACAAGCACTTTTCAAGTCTCTGCTTGCTTCATGTTTGTTCCAGCCCCCTTGGCTATGCAGTTCATCAGGCCCACCCATATTCAAGGGATGAAGAAGGACTTGATCTCTTAATGAGTAGAGCTACCAAAACATTCAAGAACCTGGTTCAGGGAAAGAATGTGTTTTCATTTTTGCAATCTAGTACAGTAGCTGTCCCAGAAGGCTAGCCATTTGCACAGCAGCTTAACCTACCAGGTCTGTAGGCTGGCCTGTGGAAAGCAGAACATTCCCATTACAGATTAAAGGACACCTATCTTGGGTAGGGACAAGAAGCTTGTCCAGGTTATCAGGTCTCTAGCAACTTTTACATGGCAGTGATTGCCATCTTTGGTGCATGGACCTGCCATCATCTATTTTGGTTATTCAGGGACTTTATTTGCTTACTTCCTGATTTTTTTACCATGTTCCAAAGACTTGAAATGAATAATACCTATTATATTGTAAATGGACTTGATTGAAACCCTTAGCACCACTGCACCACATCTGTAAATAATCTCTACCAAGTTAATTCCAACTCATTCATTAAGGCTCAGGACAAGGGTTAGCTCCTCTAAGAAATAATCTGTATTTCTCTTAATCCACTATATTTACTGTTTCTCCTATGAGGTCCCAAATACCTGATACTTCCTTCCATCTTAATACTTATCACATTGTATTGTAATTCACTCATTTTTTATAGATATTTCTCACATCTTTGTTTTCACCTAGTAAAGCTGCAGACATGGATCAATGGATGAATAATCAATGCATCTTAATTCACAGGATTGTGGAATAACATATGGTCACATTTCTTTAAATATACACAATAATGACTTCAAGCCTCTGTCCTGCTGATCACAAGAATTACACTTATCTAAATAAAAGAGTACCAAGTGGCCTCTGGTAATCTTGAAGAATGCTGACATATGTCTATGAAATTAGCCTTCTTCACTGCTGTGTGCATGTATGCACACAGAGACAAGGAGCACAAATGCACTCCTTAAGGTCCATCTTGACCTGCTGACCTTCACAGCCCCACCTGCTTGTTTCTATTTCCTACATTCAGCTGCTTCCATGCACATTTTGGCACTAAGCCCCATTTTAGAATAGCAACTGAAGTCCAATTTGCTCCAACAGCTGAAACGCAGTGGTTCCTAGGATACAGAGGAAGTTGCACTTCTCCACGGTGTTTTACTCAGTCAAAGATCAAAGAAAAATAGCCCTACACTCCAGAAGCCCCAGCTTTTCGTGATCGGCTTGTTTAAATTGCAAGCACATAGACCTTTTTCCCAAGGTGTGCCCACATCACCAGAAGAGCTTGTAAGAAAGAGACCCAGCATCAGTTTCATGCTGAACCCAGTACAAGCCCTTCCCTGTGACAACTTAGATACTGGTGTTGAGCCATGTCCTAGTGTCTAGACATCTTCATCCCTTGTTAACATGAAGGTCGGCCATAGGGAGTGATGGGGTGAGATGGGCAATCTTGGTCTCACAACCTGGCTGGATGTTTGTGGAGACCAGAGAGAAAAAGAGCACTTCCAAGAATCTAATTACCATGTGTTTCTTGGTAGTTTGGGGGCAAATGTGAAATTAGAGAGAAGTGCCTGCTTCTGAAAAATTCTAAAGGAGGGAGGCTGAACAACAGTCCAAAAAAAATTCATGATCTGAGAGTCAAGAGGCAAAGCTATCATTTC